TTATTTTTGGACCTAAAGAGGAACAATCTAAAGTTTAGATCTAGAGTTGTAGAGCTATAACAATTTCACACTGATTTTGACTCAATAGGTCACATGACCTACAAGCTATTGAAGAGAAATACTAAATTTTAACAACAACAACAAAAAAAAATAGATAACAAAAATAAAAATATTCCAATATCCGCTGAGCAAGCGGCGTTTAGCTCAAGGTTGATCTGATTTATGAACGCTAATTTCAGCCAGCCTTTCTCTAGCTCCCTCAACACTCTAGGGACTGTCAACAAATTTCCAAACCGAAAACTCCTGTCAAACAAATGTTAATAAACGCCTTGCCTTGGTAATTCATGCTTTTACATGAGACACACTGTCCTCTATTAAAATGTCAAGTCATATTCAATATTTTAAATAACTTTAATTTTAAATAATATAATGTTTTCTTCTATAGCTTCTATATTGTGTGCCACATTGACTAGAAATCAGTGTGTAATTGTTGTACTAAACTCTATATATAAGGCACATGCATTTTTATTCCAATTTAACTAAATTTATATTTTTGTTACCTTTTTTTTTTAGCTTAAATTTAGTATTTCTCTTCAATAGCTTCTAGATCATGTGACCTACTGAGTCAAAATCAGTGTGACAACTTCTACTCACCAAGTTAAAAATATCAATTAAATTGACTAGAGCAGTGGTAGACATGTGCTGATGTATAAGGCTTACAAATTAAAATGAATCTGTAATGGAAGCAACTATGCAAATACTAAATGAATATTTTACAAATTACATACACTTTAAATCAGAGTTGCCTAAGTCCAGTCCTTGAAATCTGTGCTATTCTGCATCATTTAGATGAATCTCTTCTTAAACACACATGAATCAAATGTCTGAGTTCCCATTATTCTATATATAGAATAGTGGGGATATATAGAATTACTATATTATTCTATATATTCAGTCAGTCAGCTTTTCAGAGGTCTGGTATCGAGTCCATTCATTTGATTCAGGTGTGTTGGAGAAAGGATGCATCTAAAATATGCAGCATATTAGCTCTCGAGTAGAGGACTTTGGCACCCCTAC